GATCATAAGAGCTTGCTTAGTGAATTAGCATCGTGACTAGAGGAAGCCTCGAGCACGATGAAGAATGACTGGAGGAAGCCTCCAGCATTCGTGTAGGACGACTAGAGGAAGCCTCTAGCGTAACGTAATGTGACTGGAGGAAGCCTCCAGCACAACGTATGTAAGGTGATTAGAGGAAGCCTCTAACACCAATAGAAAAGTGAAGAAACTGAGGAGCAAAGAGGTCCCAATGGTTAAAGTACTTTGGAAGAGCGATCAGGTCGAAGGGAAGACATGGGGAAGCAGAGGCTTTGATGAGGAAGCAGTATGCTTTCCTATTCAAGTAGAGCTGTGAATTTCGGGGACGAAATTCCTGTTAAGGGGGGGTGAACTTGTGACACCGCACCCGAACGTCCTTGAAAAATTCAAGTTAAAAATTCAAAGTTTACGTATTGAATTTCTGATTCCCAAACAATTGTAAATGATTGATGATTTTACGTAATTAATGATCGATTATTATACCGTCCGAACTCGCATATTAGTGTCGGGCTTGTGAATACTCATTTGGGCCTTATTAATAAATAAAAGAGCCTAACATTATCTAAGTAGCGATACATAACGTTTCAGGACAAGTTGAAGAAGGGCGGGCAGCCCAGATATTATTTTGGGCTCAACCCGCTAAAATAGCAAGTATTCGAGGACGGCGTCGTAGGCCCACTCGGGGGCGACCCACACGGCTAGTAGCCCGATAATATGGATAACAAATGTCAAAATAAGTGATAGGATGATTTGAGATGAATACAAATGCCTATGATCCCATCTTTGACATTATTGAGCTAAATAATGGGAATATGATTGTCCTTCTATAATGTCCATCATGTAAATAATTGGGATGAGCCTACACATATTGGAGATCAATAATGTGATTTAGGAAGTTGACTTGTTCTAAATAAATTAGGATGAGTACAAAAAGACATCTTTTGACAAAGATAAAACAATAGGACCCATTTTCCCCATTTTTGGAAGTATTGGTAGATAGTTTGGATCCCAAAATGATTGGGATCAATTGGGAACCACTCCACATGATATTAGTACCTGCAAGACAAATAAAAATGGGTTAGGAAACTTACCTTGGCCGACCACCATGGAGAGGAGCTGCACAAGACTTGATAGGAATCAAATGTTGGGCCACCATCCCTATTTTCGCACAAAATTGTGTGCTGGTTGTCTCCACTCATTATGGGAGTTGTACTCGACCAAATGAGGTGTATAAGGTGTCCTTGGATAGCCTTTGAAGTCTAGTATCTCAATTGAGTGGTCTTTGTTCGAGGAGAGAGAGCTTATCTTACCAGAATCGAGCTGAAGTGAGTGGTGGTCTGTAAACTCGAGCTGTGAGAGTGCTGAGACTGTTTGGTTGATATCTCGAGTTATACCAATCCAAATAAGGCGTGCGAGATACCCACAGAAAGCTCTCAAGACGAGGAATCCGTGAAGGTCTGGTTTGCATCAATCGGAGTAGTGGAAGGCTTTCAAATCGTCCGAGCAAAACACAACCTCGCGGAATACGTTTTTGTATTCAAAGTAAGTTTGAATCCAAAACCTTCCTCTCTATTGTCTAAACCATATAAATGATTGAAGAACTATTATACACTGATTGAAGTGTATAAAATGTTATTATAAAGTGACTTTAATTGTTGGAAAAGTTAGATACTAATCTAGACAAAACCTTGAAAGGTTAGGGAACGATTTCGTCGGGAAACACCCGTTCTAGGGACTGTTTTTGTGTCTTCGGTTAGGAGTTGAACTAGCACTTTGAAGAGGCTGTTTAACACTCAATTCCAAGCAGGGAATCAGTCCTCAATCTTTCTTGGCCGAGGCTTTGGTCATTGGATCGAGAAGGAAAGTTTTAAAGCTCATTTGAGGTGAGGATGGCTGACTATATTGCTTATAATCTTTGGGTTAATTTCATAAGATTTCCTAAAGTAATTAAATGTGATTTTCATGGATTATTAATGATTAATAATGCCTAAATGAGAATATCATTGTTTGTGAATAGAAGATGCATAACATACAAATTTATGAGAAATTGTGTATGATGATGCATAATAAATGTGAAGGTATAATGATTGTATAAACCATGAATTTTTGTGATAAAATATACTTTTACTTCATGTATAGAAATCATGAATGGATAAAAGTGATATTTTTGATATTGAGATTAAATCGTATACGGATTAGAAAATCCATAGGAATGAGCCTTATAACTATGAGTTAAGGAGCTTGGGCTGTTTAAAGGTTTATGGATTAGTATTTAATTTACTAATCGGGAATGTTGTATAAAAAGTGATAGAACAATCCTAAGGACTTGGATTGTGAAGGATGCACCTTAAGTAGTCTTATGAGATGCCTTAAGGTAGGAAGGGGTAACCACTAAGTTACATTAGGAGTAGGCCTCATTGGCTACTCAAGATTGAGGAACTCTAGGCATAGAATTTGCTAGTGAGTTAGTATCGTGACTAGAGGAAGCCTCTAGCACGATGAAGAATGACTGGAGGAAGCCTCCAGCATTCGTGTAGGACGAACTAGTATCGTGACTAGAGGAAGCCTCTAGCACGATGAAGAATGACTGGAGGAAGCCTCCAGCATTCGTGTAGGATGACTAGAGGAAGCCTCTAGCATAATGTAATGTGACTGGAGGAAGCCTCCAGCACAAAGTATGTAAGGTGATTAGAGGAAGCCTCTAACACCGAATTTAGTGACTAGAGTAAGCCTCTAGCACGGCAAAACATGACTAGAGGAAGCCTCTAGCATGGTGAATTTAATATAGATGGGCGTGGCTTGAAGTCACGGGGAAAGGGTTGAACGTTTTCAAGGTAAAACATGGGTCTTCGGGCCAACTACTTGACTTTATATATAAAGTAAGTATATTTTCAAAGAGGGTAACCACGGGTTATGACCTATATTATATTATCACCCTATGTGAGGGTCTTGGAAATTGAAACTTTGATTATACTTAGTATAGTTGTCATTGTACTTGTCAAATGCTTCCAAGTACTGACCTCCCCTTCACGGGGGAGGCCACCTCACAGTTTCAGGTAGGACTTGAAGGTTGCTACCGCCGCCGTTGCTTTGGGGAGGTTCAAGGAAGGAGACGTGGTTCGTGCTTCTTCCGTTCCTGTTTTGAAAACATTTTTAAATAATGCTCATGGATACTATTTGAATATTTATTTGGGCTTGTATGCCCGTGTTTGCCACGTGTGGCTTGGATATTTGAATTAATGTTTCCGCTGCTTGATTAAATATTTTGCATTATGATTGTTTATGGATGTACTATTGTGAATGATATTCATGACGCCTAGTATAGTATGGATGAGTTGGACTGCGGTTGACTATTCGTACTGTACGGCGGGTTGTTGACGTGTCCGGTGGGTCCGGGGCGTGACAAAAACTCCTTGCGCAATTCATTAGGTTGCGCGAAAAATAGGACCTTGCGCGATTCAGAGTATCTTGCACGATCTGGACTGATGCTTGCGCGATCTGAGGGGTTGCGCGTTCTTACTCTTGCGCGATTAACCCCATTGCGCGATATGATACTTGCGCAATCTTCCCAGGTTGCGCGATCTATGGAACATGAGCGATTCTCACTGTTGCGCGATATACTCCTACACGATCCACTACCCCTGCGCGATTTAGGGTGCCCAGCCCTTGCGTGATCTGATCCTTGCGCGATCAGGAGTCTTGCGCGAAGTGTAGGCCTGCGCGATCTTTTTGCATTTGGGCCCGCGCGATCTTTTTGCATTTGGGCCTGCGCGATCTTTTTGCATTTGGGCCTGCGTGACTTTAAGTCAACCTAGCACATGTTTAAACCCGTGTGGAAATCTGTCACTTTGGACCAAGATAAACCACTAAGTCCAGGCCCAATTCAGATCAAGTGCAATAACCATTCTTAAGTTGGGCCTCACTTTTCTCATAAAAAAAGGGCCCAAGTGTTCAACTAGTTGTGGACTTAGCCAATTTTTGATCAAATATGCTTATCTCTTTATCATTTTCAGACTAAAATGGCTGCCATCACTCCAACAAACATGATTTATGCTAGGGAACACTGGATCCCGCTCAAGGAAAGCAACTCACAGTTGGACCCCGAGGTGTTCTCTTGTCAAGATGATGTGATCGTCTCTATTCTCAAAGGCCACAAGCTGTGGAAGGCACTGAGCGAAAACGCTGAAGTCCCTCAGGTGTATCTACAACAATTCTGGGGAACACTTGACAAGGACGTAGATGAGAATGGCAAACAAATTGATGATGTGCTAGCTGCCACGATCTACAACACTAAGGTTACAATCACGAAGGAGCTAGTCCAACAAGTGCTACAGATCCCGGAGGAGGAACACTATGATGCGTTGGCCTCAGAAGCGCAAATATTTGAAGACATGATCAAACTAGGCCACGCTGAACCCCTCCGACTGATGTCTGCTATCAAACCAGGGCGGCTACCCAGACCATGGAGAACATTGTTGGCTACACTGAACAAGTGCTGCACATCCAAGCACAGTGGCTTTGACAAATGCAGCGCTTACATTGTATACATCTTCCACGGGATCACATTCATGAAGAACTATGACTTCACCTCTCTAATCTGGAATGAGTTCTTGGAGATGAGGAGAAGAAATTTGAAACATATCTGATCAAACATCTGCCATACATGAGATGGTTTTCACTGCTGGTGCGACACTTCTGCAGAACAATTCCAACAATCCAAAGGCGCAAAACATCTGAGAATGTCAGCACTCCAGCCCTCCAATATATGAAGAAAATGCCTGAGGTACGCACACTGGTACCTCTTCCTATACCTGTTCCTCTCCTCCTGTTAGCCGGCCGCAATGATCCACACGTCATACGCTACAGCGAGGAGAACAACATCATACTCCCTATGGCTCAGATAAACCCCCCTGAGCCTACCCCGGGGAGTCAGCCGAGAGAAGGTGAGGGTCCTGAGAGTTCAACCCGGCCACAGAGACCAGTGGCAAGTCAGCCCCATGATGATCAGACTATGTCTGCTGAGGGCCACCCCCAAGGTGCTGAGGAGAACGCCAATGATTCGTCAAGCGCAGCCAGATCACAACACGCTGACGATGAGGGCTCCGGGAGCATGGCTGGAGAAAACGACGACGATGATGATGATGAGGATGACGACAACGCCAATGCAAAGGGCAAGAAAGTCGAGAAAGCCCCTGCGAAGAAAGGACGACTCATAATCAGGCTTTCTCGGGCTACAACACAAGAGCAGTCTCACCAAATCAACGATACTCAAGGAAATATAATCAGTGAGACTCGCTCCAAGGTACGTCATGACAACCCTTCCTCATCATCAATTTCTATGCAAAGAGTGCAAACAGCAAGCAACTTAGCTGATGAAATAGCACTATATGACAGTTGCTCCGACCTAGATACTATAAACCGGGTTAACCCCTTAGGAGCAGAGACTGATATTTTTAGTTTCCGGGTAGAAGACGCAACATCTTGCCCAACTGCGCATGCACAAGCCTCACCCGACCACTCTGCTGCCTCCCAACAGGTAGTAGTTTCACAAATAGGGGACATTATACCCACCTCACTGCCTCCTTACGACGCAGTTGGGGACATCCTTTGTGGTTTTCTGCCCCAGACCACTACCCCTCCTTCAACCACATTGAGTCTAGGTTCCACCCTCCCAACATTTTCCACTTTTTCTAGGACACATACACTTCTTACACCACCGCACACAACAGGTGCACTTTACCTGTCCTCAACGATCGGAGATACGTCGATGATGATCGGAAGTCCTGCTGCACAACAGATTCCTCCATCATTATCTGCAGGCCACACACCGGTAATCTTTATTGATGTTGTGACAACGGTTACTACCCCTGTAACCGGAAACCCTGACCCTACCGACCTTTCAGTCATTTTGCAGCGTTTCATGGATTCCACCATTAAGCCATGGGTGCACGAAGCAATAACCGCCCGGGCACAGGAATTCAGGAACACCCCGGCGCTGCTTAATGACATCATCCAACCCCAACCATCATCATCACATACCCATCAAACACATCCACTTACCCATTTCTCCATCCGCCAAAACTCTGAACCATCCACAACCCAACCAACCACTCCTACCGTTTCAAGGGGAACCCAGGACACAGAGCTAGTGTCCCCCCCTACTTCGACCACACCCTTCCCCGACCCGAAAACTCTTTCGTTCGAGGTACTCGAGAACCTTATGCTAGATCAACTACTAGCTACCGAAGAAGGCAACCTAACCCAGAAACAAAAAGAATTTCTTCGGATCCTTAAGCCTGACAGCACATGCCGTGATAGTCTTCGTGGTCACAAACGTTCGCATGAGGACCCCGATGATTCGGATCCTCATGAGGGGGAGAACAAGAGGCAACAGATACTTGAGCGTGATGCGTCAACAAGAGAACCATCTACGCAAACTCACCAACCCAAATCCTCGAACAATCAGCCCCCACCATCCACTCAACACAAAAGCCAAACAGCCAATCCACCCATTTCTAGCCCGGTCGAGCTAGGCACAACACTCCTAGGCGCATCCTTTACAAGTGCTGTCCAAGGATGGAGTGGAAGTCCTGAGGTTGCTACTTCGAGTACACCATTTTATTCAGGCCATCAGAAAGAACCTAGTTCTAATCTGATGATAACGGGCAATCCTAGTGATCCCGGGGTTACTTTTGATAGATCGCCACAGCAGCAACAAACTCCCTCTAGCCCCTCCGATGATCAAACGCTCGATGAACTTGAAGAAATTCTTGTTTATGACAAGTGGCCCCGCCAATGGACAGAGTGGGATGAACTAAGAGCAGAAGTAGACCAAGATGAAATACAACGAAGTGTGCGTCTCAGAGAACTGATTGCCAAGTGTGCTGCTGAAATGATTGGGCTCGATGAAGATGAAATCAAGGGGAGAACTATCAGGAAAATTCCAAGGAGCCGGAACCAATCACCAAGCAAAAGGAAATTAAAAAGCCCTTGGAAATTCTTAGAGTCAAAGCCCCCTTTCTAGAGGAAATTCGAGAGCGGATATGGCGTCAACCAGAGAAACTCATAAAATTCAGTGAACTGTGGACTCAACCACTTTAAAGGAAAGTACAGAGGAGGACACATCTTTATGCTTTACCAAAGATCAACAGGCGAACAATGCAGAATTCTGAATCATACTCTTGAAACAAGCATAGCTCCTGTGTTAAAGATTCTAAAGGTAACAAAAGACTATCTCGAGACTATCAGGTTCTATACTTTCCAGGTACAACGCATTGACGGGACCGAGTTCACCTGCCAAGAGAACGACTTCTTCTTACTACACATGGATGACATCTATCAGATGTTCATGGCATGCAGACAACTCCCAGTCCACAAAGACAGAATTGCTAAAGAAGGCTTTGAGGCTATAAAAAGATTTATGACCAGACAAGTTCGATATTATGCTTCCCATGATCTTCAAATGGCCCTAGAAAACAACTATTCAAAGGCAAATCTCACGCAACCAGAATGGAACAGACCGGAACTTGAACCCTACTCAGCATACCACACCTTTGACGATCCGGTCTCAGTCATCTATCTGAATCACAAAGAGGAGAAGCGCTTGATGGTTGTTGAAGACATTCGCAAATACTGTGACGGGACTCTGAAGATCATCCGGGAACAATTGCAACCAAGAAAAGAAGAACTGGATAAAAGACAGACTGAAGCCTCAAAGGAAGAACTCAAGGAACTGGAAAGAGTTGATAAAATTCTGAAGGCCATCAAAAAGCAAATCAATGATAGAAGGTCACTCAGAAGCTACGAGCATGCACTCAATCTCAGAAAGCATTATTATAAAGCTCGGAAGTGAAGAATAAAAGAAGCAAGAACATCTGATCACAAAGGGGGAGATTGTTAGAGATATTTTCATTATATTGTGATCAATGTTACTTAGCCTTTTGTAATAATTTATTTATCATAGAATAGGTCTTAAATGGAAAAGGCTACTAAGCTAAATTAGGAATGGGCCTCCTAAAAAGGAGAGCCCATATCATTGTAACCTACCATTCTAAGGAGGCTATAAATAGACCCCTTAGGAATGGCTAGGTTAAGTTTTTCAATACATTCTCTGTGCCGCAATGCCTATTTGCGTGTGAGGTTTTTACGCTAAGTTTTCACATCATTCTGTAAAACCTTCACCATCAATGGAAAGCTTCATTCCCAGATCTGTCTTCCATACTCATACATTTTAGAATAGAAAACAGGGACCTAACAAATAGCGCATGGTCCATCAGTTGGGTTGTTGGGGCTTCAGTTGGACTTATTTTCTTCTTCCTAGGATTGGCAGACACTTTTTTCACTCTCTTTTTTCTCTTTGAGACTGTCACTGATGATTCCGTGGATATCGGGAGTGCATCTGAGGCCTTTTTTCTTCCCCGATGGTGTATTTTCAGTTCTACTTCCACAAACATTATGAAAAGAAAAGGAAATACATATTATGTAGTAGACTAATTCAGGTGTGAATCAATCACCAAACGTATAAACATGAAAAAAGAAAAGGAAATACAAACATAAAAAAGATATTCCAAATTTTCAAACAAACTACGTAGCTTCCACATACTCATCTAGCCCAAACATATAAACATGAACTCACAATTTGACCGGATAAAGAAGATATATAAACGTAGATACATAATGACCCAAGCATGCCCAAATAAATTAAATTGAAGATCGAAAATTAACTTACTTGCCCAAACGACGGAAGTCTTAGACGAACAACGAACAAATGAACCAGCAAGTCTCCATAAATTCATTCACGGTTGTCGTCCCCAGAAGTCCTAAGCGCCAAGTCTCATACCCACCGTTGTTGTCGTCCCCAAAACGACAGATGTTACGTGGTCAATACACGCTGATGTTGTCGTCCCCTGTGAATTTCATCCTTACCTAGATGCCCAAACCCTATGTGAAACAGACGGAGCACATCTCTTTTGCAGACATGTCGATTTAGAAATCTAAGGAGAAAGATGGTGGCTGACGTGGAAAGAAAGCCAAGTGTGGCAAAAAACAGTGCCACATAAGTACTAACAGGGATGAGAAGGTGATTAACAGGTCGGTTGAACACATGTGGTTCTTTTTTAAAAGTAAAGGTATTTTTTGACACTTTTTTAGTAGATAATTTTATGTGATGGTTTCAATATAGTACATGCCCTTATTTGACCCCTTTTCCTTTATTAAATACTCCCTCGATTATTATTCGCCTACTCTCTCCTTCAATATCCCTCCCAACTTTTTTCAAGTAATTTGTGCCTCTTATTAATTATCACCCACTATGCAAATTCCAACCACATAACACAATCCCATCCACATAAGTAGTTAAGTCATATTGTACCTTATATAGTTGATTCTTGTTATACACATTTTTATATATGTGTTCTCCTGTCTATCATGGTTGAACATCCGATCCAAGATGTCATTTTGACTTCGAAATGAAAGTATTCGATCAGCTCTAGGGTGAAGTTGATTGTTAATTAAAATATCAAATTTACCTTTAAAGATACAAGGTAAGCAATTTCACTTGAGGCTCATCAAGTTACTATATAGAGAACTTGACCAAATTGTCCATATGAACTACGCTTGCTAAGTGTAAATCTTTAATGAATTACCAAGACAAAACATTACTATTTCAAAGTGAGTTAGGGCTTTGTAAAATTACCGGTAAATTTTATTAATAAATTTGTAATGATATAACGTAGCTAGGGAGTAACATACAAAGATTAATCTTGTTGTTAACAATAGAGACTCTGCAGCTCGACGATAACTAACTCCATGGAATCGTCATAACAAAAAGTGAACTCATGCTCACACTCCATCGATATTTGAGTGTACTTACAACATGAGGATTTTGCATAAATTTTAACTATGAAATAGTAGAAGTAATGAATGGCTGTCAATATTATAATTTTACGTACAATGGCCTTTAAGGTATATTTGGGAGTTTGGTGTGAAGGAAGGTGTAACACCCCTATTTTTATGAGCTAGTTATGGTAATCATTATTATTTATTTTAGTCAGCTAAATAAGTTACTTGTGTGAATAATGTGATATATTATTTTTCCAAGTTTTGTTTGTGGCAGGTAACGTTAACCGGTAAGCTCCAACAATTTTAAGTAAAGGAATAATTGATAATATATATTTTATTAGTATACTCTTAAGAGGCAGAATATAATAATTCGGTTGGGTCAGATTCAATTTATTAAGAAGTCTAAGACACTCCAGATCAGTTATCTTGGCCCGAATTAGTATTGTGCTTTAAAAAAAGGGAAAATTTCAGAAGTAGTCTTAAACGGAAAAGTAATATCACTTTTGTCACCTTAAACATTTTCTTTCAAAAGTAGACAAGTTGTACTTTTTCTTTTCACAAATAGACAAGTACTCACGTAAGGATATAAAACTCATCCAGTGGAATCTATTCCCAAAAGGCGTACATAAAGATCCTCTTTAATGCACCTTTTTTATACTCCGTAAAATTATACGGACTCCAAGCTAAGCTCCTGGATTCATTCAATTTAAGTTTTTAAATAGGAAAAATTGTAAAAATATATATAAGAAAAATGGAAATCTAAAAATATCAAAATAATAAATAATAAAATCTTAAAAATATATGAAAATGTAAAAAGTATCAAAACATTAAAAAATAAAATAAAATTGTATAAATGTACGATAACGTAGAAATAAAACAATTGTAAAAATGAATGAAAACGTAAAAAAACAAATTAAGATAATTAAAAATAAAAATATAAAATATAAAATTAAAATAGAAAATATGAGAAGTAAGAAAACATAGAAAATGATTAATACTCCGTAATAAATAATAATAATAATAATAATAATAATAATAATAATAATAATAATAATAATAATAATAATAACAATAATAATAATAATAATAATAATAATAACAACAACAAAGGCTAAAACTTGTAAATGAATATTAAAAATAAAAAATGTATTTAAGTTTTGGATTCTACAGAAAATTTAAAAATACGTACTCAAAGCTTTTAAGTACAGAACTCAAAAAATAAAAAAATAAATCATATTTAGATTTGTAAAATATAAGATTTGTTGTAATATAATTGTTTAAAGAGTTTTAAGAAAATAAAATAAAATAAAATAATATTTTTATAAAACTAATTCATATTACAAAACAAAAGCGAAAGTATATACGGTAATACGGAGTAGAAAATAATAAATCTAAATAGTAAAAAACTGAAAAAATCTCAAAAATTGAAAAAACATAAATTATATTTAAAATATAAACCAAAATACTAAAAATATAAAAATTTAAATTTGTTTCTTTTTGTTGGTCATCCTGAAGATTTTATTCTTTACTGTTTATTTTTGTTTCTAGTTGTCTTTACATTCTTAAATCTAAATTTATAATGTCAACAAATCTATATAAGGTTGTTTTATTACCAGGAAGTAGTAGCTAAGATAAATAAAAACCTTAATATTAACAACAAACAAAATTAACAATAAACAACAATAAGCAACACATTGCAACAAAAAGCAACACAATGCAACAAAAAGCAACACAATGCAACAAAAAGAAACAGTTTTGATACAACAAAATGAAACCAAAATCAACATAAAATGTATCATAGTTAATATATAATTCAATCAATTATTTGAATTTATTACATCTATCTATTAGATAGTACTCCCTCCGTTTCTAAAAGAAAGTCACGGTTTGACTTCACGATTATTAAGGAAATAAATTGACTTTACTGTAGAAAACACTGTTTAGACACTGTTTGGCACTGTTTGGACACTGTTTGGCACTGTTTGGCACTGTTTGGATGTAGATTTCTTTGCCAAATAAGGAAATAAGGAAAGTGTGACTTTTATTTTGGCACATCCAAAAAAGGAAAGTGTGAGGTTCTTTTAGAAACGGAGGGAGTATATTATTTGGCCTTGCTTGATCACATTTTTTCTGCCTTGTATATGCATGCAGCATCTTAATGTAGAATCCATTATAATTGTCTCTCATGTCCTCATGTCTTAGTTGATCTTCTTAGTTTAATTATCATCTCCATGTACTTCTATTATGCACCTGAGATGAGAAAGCAATAAATACAATCAATATGAAACCAATAATTACAAGTAAAAAAAAGAAGTGCTGGAAGGGAGAGTGGAGAATTGGAGGATGACATGTTTAAGCTTTTCAAAGATTGAGGCTAGAGTGCTTTCTCCAGCTGCATGCAATTTCTTACCTGAAACTTCAGTGCAACTAAAAGCCACAAGGATAGACTGGAGTCCTGCAGAAATAGCAGCTTCATGATCAGCTCTTCTCATTTTCCCAATACATCTGATAGATGATAGTAACAAACTGGAATGATTTGATTTAATTAAACTTTCAATGAATTCCACCATCTCTTAATGGAAAATAAGCTTAAATTGAAAAGTATTATTAATCTGGGGAAAGTTCCTCTTTTATAACATTTTATAACAAGTATCATAAAGAATTTACAATCAAGAGCATCTATGAAAGATAATGTGTGGCCTGAGCAAGATAGTAACCATAATCGGAAGCACACTTCTCTGCGATTTAGATGACATGGGCTAGCATACCGGAATATGATGAGCACATGCTATACATAGATCCTTGCCTTCTGATAACACTATTATTAACTGCCTTGAGTTTGCAAGTCAAAATGTAGTAACAAATATCTTCAAGGACAGTCACAGAAAATTCAATCACTAAAGCGATGAATGAACAAAGACAACGCAACATGATCAAGAAATATACATACAAGTTTCTTACAATCTTATTGTTTGGGCAGACTATCTAATCAACTACAATCTAACCCTATAAATCTTTATATAGTAATAACAGATTTTGCTAATTCTCCTGCAAAAGTTTTACTTGACTAATCTTCCTAAGCTACGAAAATACGAGGGGATCCAACCAAGGAAGAAATGAGTTGAAATTAGAGTATTAAAAAACTGCAGAGGATACTACTGGTGCAAGCTATATTTGTAAAAAAAGAAGTGAACTTGTCATAAGAAAATCCTACAATTAATTGAAATAATGCTTCTGTATTTTACCGGATGAAGTTACCAAATAAACCTATTACTTAATCCCAAATATTCCATGCATTAGGCATTTAAATTTGCAATAAATGGTGATGAAGCTACAAATTTCATATAAATATGTGTTTGTGTTCTTGACATTCTTATAAAACATATCCATCCCCCAAAAGCCCTGGCTCAAATCAGATTAGGAAACCAATGAATCACATGACAAATTTCATAAAGAATCACAATAAATTAGATATCACATATAACTCTTTTTGGCCATTTACTAGTAGGAAAAGCAAACACACAGGTTATTGCAGATGATTGGAGTCATTGGACACACGTCCACGTAAAAAATTAAATGAGTTTGACAAATATAGCTTCCTCTGGATTATCTTAAACTGCATCAAGCAATATGTTACTACGTACATTAAAAACATAACACTTCTGAAAGAAATGTGCATATACTGGTGTATTTTCTTTGATTTCATTCCAAGTACTTGTGAGGCTGTGCTGAAATCTAAATATAAATATGCTTAACCATAAATTTCTTCAAATGGACCCCTGATCAATACAGTTATATTATTCACTTATTAATTCAGCAATAAAAATAATCACAATGAGAAGCTTACCAGAACCACCTGAGCTACAAATCCTAAGGCTGGTCAGCTGCTTGCTTATTCCTTCGTCTCTTCTTCCCTATACCAGTAATACCACACCCTTATGACTGAAACCAGTTCCTCACCGAAAAAGGCACTCAAATCGGCTCCAACAACACAATTTCTGACGCCACCACCGTCATACAGAGTACCACTCGTTTAAAGCGATAGGTAGTCTCGAGATCATCCTCCAGAATTCGAAGTGGTAGAGAATCCGAGATGATGAGGATATATGGTCATGTAAGAGTAGCTTAGAAGATTCTTACATGGAAGGAG